CTTGAATAATAGTCACAAACACCATCAGCCTTGTGTCCGTCTCTCAGTACTGTCTCCAGTGAATTTCCGATAAGCCATTCCATTGTTATCGCAATGAAGTGATACGCGCCCCGAACTCGGCTAAGTTGCGAGCACCGTATGGAACCGTTGTCAACACATTAAACCAATTGGCATTGTGCCTTCAAAAGTCTTTTGTAAACTAACACACACACATATATATATATATGTGTGTGTGTGCGAATGTGCGTTTCTCTTGTAAATAAGACGAGTTCTCAGCCTAAAGAATGCAATGAAATATTGCTGAGTCAGTAAATAATGAAATTGGCATTAATCGTCGAATATCTAAGGGATCAAAGCTATTACCATTATTTCAAACAAGTAGATGAAAGAACACGGACACTTATGCACAAAGAGTCCCACCTACACCCTACACAATAATATATATATATATATATATATATATATATATATACAGAGGAATAGAGATTTTTGTATAGATGCATGCCGATAAAATATTTTCAAAGGTAAGCACTATTCAAGAAGCAATTTCCATTTCGATACTTGGTCTCATTACCTAATATCAGATTATATGTAGGTCCTCAGTTATACTATGTTCTATCTATCTATCTATCTATCTATCTATCTATCTATCTATCTATCTATCTATCTATCTCTTTCTCTCTCTCTCTCTATATATATATATATATATGTTTATATCTATTCATCTAGCTCAGTTGCTAGATATCTAGCTCAATTTGTTACTATCTATGTCACTCTTCTCACATCTGTCAGTCCGTTCATATATATCTATCTCAAACTCTTCCTAAATAGTTGTCCCAATATTTAACATTTATATGTAATTATTCAAAGGTTTCTTCCCCACTCTCTTTCTCTCTCTATATATATGTGTGTGTGTCTGTGTGTGTATGCATATAAATATATATATATATATATATATATATATATATATATATATATATATAAAAATATAGCCTAATAATGTAAAATACATCTAATTTTAATATATATATATATATATATACATACATATACATATACATACATATATATATATATATACATACATACATACATATACATATATATATATATATCTATATATATATATATATATATATATATATATATATATGTGTGTGTGTGTGTGTGTGTATATATATATATATATATATATTAAAAACTGGATGTATTTTGCTTTTGAAAACAAATTAATCGTTCACTCGCCAGTAATTTGCAATCGCCTGAAGATACGCATTGTATTCTTTGAAGCACGACTGCAATGGTGTAGTGATTCTTAGTTGCTTTTGTTCTTTGTAATAGCCTAAATATATATATATATATATATATATATATATATATATATATATATATATCATTGAACATTGACGACAGAAGCTATCGTCAGGCTATATTTCTTCATACATACATATATATATATATATATATATATATATATATATATATATTTAAATAAGTTTTTTGTTGTACAAAATTTAGTAATAGCTGGGAAAAGATAAAATTTATAAGGCATTTTTTTATAAAAGAAAAGGCTAAAAAAAAAAAAATAACCAGTTTCGTCCCATGACTTATCAAGTTTATTTTTCTGGGAATAGAAAATTTATAAAAATCCTGTAAATTAAATTAACGAATGGAATCGAATGGAAGAGGAAAAAAAAATGAATTTCAAGAAACTAGTGTCCAATAACATTCAGACCCATAAGCATTCCCTCTGTTTACAAAGGGAAGGCTCACGGGATCTGTTATGCAAGGACTGTATAAACCTTGAGGTGAAATGTGGAGTGGGACTTAGATAAAATCAAAAAACGGTCCACACTAAAATTAACCACACATTTCCTACTATTTATTATATGCTCAGCAATAGCAGAGCCAGAACTATTGGTTAGTTGGCTCTTCCTGGCAGACGGATTCAAAATTCTGGGGGGTAAATGTTGTTTTACTAGAAAGAACATTTCTTTTATTTACAGAAAATATGCTTTCACTTCAGTATCTGTCTATATTTCTGAGATGAGCTATTATGTACATTAATTATATTATTCGGACTGTTGACCTCATCTTTGTCGTCATATTTATTATAACGTTTCGGCCGTTGTACGCTCCGGCCTTCTTCAGGTGGTTGGAATGTCGAACTTAACACTTTATTTCGCTCACTGGGGTAGACTATTCTAGTTCCACGTGCCATGTTAACGTAAGTCTTCATGAACACCAGAAAGCTGTAACACGAGGGAAAGTGGAAAAATCAGGAGTGGCTGACCACATATGGAGAGAGAAGGGAGATCACCGCCCTCTGTGGGATCAGGTTGAGATCATAGACAAGGAACACCATTGGAAAATTCGTAAACTTAAGGAATCAGCACACATGCTAGGCCACAAAAATCTCCTGAGTCGACCAAGCATAGAAATGAATACAATATGGGAACCAATAATAAGTGCCATAGAAAAGCAATAACAACAACAAAAGTTGCAATATGAGCTCTGGTAAAAACATGTATTGATACCAGCAAAAAATTGCACTATGAGCACTGGTAAAAGTAGTTGCTGAAGACATTAGGTTTATAATACCCAGAAATTCATACACAGATATCTTCAAGGACACATGACACAGTGGATAAAGGCTTAGATCCAGTGACAGGACCCAAAGAGTGTGAGTTCAATAACCTGTTAAGGCAGTGGAGAACTTTCAGAGGGAAATTAACATGAGATAACTAGAACAGTATACCCCAGTGAGCGGAATAAAGGGTTAAGTTCAACATTCCGGCTGATACGTTGTAATAAATATGGCAACAAAGATGAGGACAATAATCCGAATAATTTAAATAATGTTTTCACTTGTTATTTAATTCTTCCATCATTATTCGGGTTGCATACGACAAATGCGAACAAGATAAAAGATTACTCTTTATTCTTTTGATTCATCAGACTTTTCGGAATTGGGAAGTTTGTGAAGTTTGGAAATTACTATTCCTATCCGCTGCAGGTATCAAATGCATTCGAAAATATATTTGTAGAAGATTAAAACCAAATCTAATTTGTTAAAAAAATGTCCATCGTAAATTTTAGACAACAACAGTCGGGAATAATATTTCCTAGAAATGAACAAATATTTGTAGAAAACAAACTTACCAATATCTGTCTACAATGATTAATTCTCCTCCTTTCGTCACGTCTGCGTCGAAATTCGTGGAATGTATTAAATCCCTCCAAATATTGCAATTTATTTGCTTCAACAGGATTTGTTTCCTGTAATTCAAGACGTTACCTAAATATTTTCCTCTGCGATCGTTATTTGTCCAATTGCACGCTACTTTTCTTGTCTGTTGATTTGTTCGTTTGTTTATAAAACTGCGAGTCTGGAGGCAACAATTTGTTTTGTTCATGGAGATGCCGCTTCATTGAACCTATAATGTCGGTGCAAATGAAACAATATGAAACTTTGTAAACAAAATAAATTCTTGCACAGACTAACGATATATTTTTCTATTTACGTTTTTTTTTTATATTTTATTCAAATGTAAACAGAGAAATCCCGTCTGTGTATGAATCCTTCCATATTTGATTTGACCAAAATACAAACAAAATTTTAATGTTTTTCTTATTGTTATATACACATTTTGTTTGAAAATAATTTATATAAATGTTAACCAATAAACACATGTACATAATATTTATTCATACATTTATTGTTTGAAATGTTTATTTGAATTATTTTTAGGGGACGCAAAATAACAAATATTTTCAAATTCTTGATTGAAGATCAGTTCATCTATCAGCATAAATATTTACCTATTCTTTAAATATGAATTTTAACTTACCTATTCGTAAAAATAGTTTCGGATTTTTCATAAGGCTTCTTAGAATTCATATCTTTTATTGTTTACAGTTTGATTATCTATGGTAGCTTAAAGAAAATTATATCAAAGTTAATATGGCAGATCAAACAAAACGTGATCAAATTGTCTCATTGTAAATGACTTGTATAAGGAATTTTGATACAGCAGTTTACTGGAAAAAAAAACTGTTTTTACTGTGTAAAAAATGTTTAAGATGGGCGAAAAAGCTCACCAAATCCAGTTCCAGAAGAAAATCTTACAGTTAAGCACGGAGAACATTAATCCTGTTGTCTTTGCAGTATGGCCTATATCGAAGAACGATGTTTCATGTAGCTCATGCTCAAGTGTTTCAGCACTGACAGCTCTGATAATGTCGGGTTACAATTAAAACGAAGAAGTAGTGAAGAAGCTTTAATAAGAGCCCGATCAGACCGAAAATCAAATACAGTTACTATATTTGGTCAGGAAATGCCCAGTCCTCACTTTCCGGTCTTGATAAAGTTCAAAAGCGTCCTTGCTGGAGAAGAATTATTTTCCATCGTACAACCTCTGTCTCTTACAGGCAGGATGCATCGAATCCCTCGCTGCTCTATCGTTACTTCCATGGAAAGTGCTCGGACGAACTACATTCCTTGGTTCCGCGCAGGTCTAACCTTCGCGGCTAGGACCCGCCATGCCACTTACATTGTAGCAATCCGTCAACATTCTATCGGCGTGAAGTAAGTTCCACTCAAACAGCTTCTTCCTGCGAACCATTGCCCTGTGGAACAGACGCTCAAGAGGATGTTTCCCAGAACACTACAATCTTAACCTGATCAACTCTAGTGTCAACAGTTATCTTCCCCTCCTATCTATATACACTACCTCTTAACGTAACCCTCTACATCGAGAGACCCCCAAGCTTGTACATGCTGAACCTTACGCTAAAAGGTTCATTTGAAATGAAATTAAAGACTATGATGAAAGTAAACGGTGACCAATTTGAATTGTAAATATATGTACAGTATATGGCAATCAACCGATAAACATTTATCAACCAAAATTCAGACTTCTTTATTTTATGTTAAAAATGAATATTGGTGTAAATATATATGCCACGCCTGGTATATTATGCATACTTAATATTACGAATTAAGGAGTAATTGTGATGAAAAGAAAAAAGTGAAATTGTTGCTCTGCAACAAAAGCAAACAAAAAAAAAACATCATTATTATAAACGTGTGAGCGGCTGGCGTAATGCGTATCAGAAGAGTTCAATTTCCAGGGTATTCGGTTGTATTCACTTTCATTTGGAAAAGCATGAACCCGTCTCTTCTCTCAGTTATCAGCTATTATGGGTTGAATACCAGGACATACTGTGATGTCTAACCTTGGGTGCCAATCTAAGAGAAGGAAATCTTTGAATTCCGAGTCATGAAAGCATGAGAACATATAGACGAGAAGGAAACAACTAATAAATGCAAATTCGAAACAGAAATAGGCTTTCTCCAACTTCATATATTTTCCGTTTTTTATTTTCACCCTACTCTCATGGGAAAGTATCTACCGTGAATGTCGTCGTGCTCTGAAACGCATCTTAGGGGCATTAGATGGCCTCTCCATCGTCCAGACGTTGTCTCATAAGGCATTATATCAGGTGTTAGGTGGGCCGTTCGTGATGAACTGATTGACGAGCTCGGTCTTACGTAGGAGGAGGCTTGCTCAATATGGCCTTGGGTGCCCGGGTTGAAATATCTCAATGAGGCATCATTCACCTGGCTGGTGATGGGTGGAGCCCTCTGGGTCGCCAAGAGAATTTGCACAGCGGGCTTGGAGAAATATCCAAACTGCCGCCTCTGTAGTTGCGAAGTCGAGACCATTGGTCACGCCTTCTTTCATTGCAGGCTGGTAGCGCCGTTGTGCAGGTATGTTGAAGGCCACATGGTTCGCATGCTGCCTGGAAAGTTCTTTGTCCTTTTGGCCGCTTCTGTTTGTAGCAATTTCGCTCCGCCGCTGACGAGGGCTGAACATTATGTGTTCTTATGCTTGCTAGGTGTTATGAGAGTCGTGATTTAGATGATACGTCAGAAGGGATTCTATGAAGTCGTGAAGTTCACTTCTTCCCAACTGATCTTATACTTTAAGCATCAGCTTAAGGTTAAGATAAGGACGGATAGGCGGCGACTCACTTCATCAGAATTCGGCAAAAAGGTGGGTAAATCTTGCGCGTTTGTGTCTTTTGAAAGGGGCTAGCCTAGAGTGGCACTTTGATGCCAGTTAGGTATCAGGATATTGCTTGCCTGGGTTAAACACAGGCAACTCATCCCAAAATTAGGTTAGCTTAGGTTTAGTTTTGATTCTTTAGTTTCCTTTTTCATTAAACTTAGCTAGAGTATGTATGCTCATTGGCTCCTTTTATTCTTTAAGTATAATTCCTCTCCCTCGTTAGGTGGTCAGTGACGTCAGTTCTCTTGTGGATGCTGGGCGTCTTTCATTTCGTGTGTGTGTTTTCGTACTTGTTGTTGTGTCTGAATGAGTGCGTGTCTGTGTGAGTGCTTTGGTTGAACGTTTGTTTTATATTATTCTAGTCCCGCATTAATTTCGTCCGGTTAACTAATGTTTCTGCCACATTTAGTGATTTTTATTACTAACATGATTTTGTTTAATTTCTTGTAAATAGATATTAGTTCATACTGTAAATACTCATTGGGGTTAGTTTAAAAAAGTTAAAATTGTTGTTTTATTCCCTCCCTCCCCACAGACGATATATTGTACATATGGGGACTAGTTAGTATTTTCATTGAGACACTGAGGTATTATGTTGGGTGTGGTGAGAAAGGTAAGTAAGAATGTGTTGTTTTGGTGCAAGGCATATTGTAAGTATGATTGGGCAGCGTTTGTGGCTAGCTAAATTTCAAGTTAAGACAGAAGACCGACCTCTTCCCCTTCCCCATTTCGGACTTGTGCCACATTTTCTGTTTTATTCAGGAATAAATATCCTCTCATGGGAAAACAATGCTTGGTGGGGCCATTAGTGCCAATCCATTTCTTATATATATATATATATATATATATATATATATATATATATATATATATATATATATATATATATATATATATATTTATTTGAAAATATTTTGAAGGTACAAAATCTAAGTCTGTAGCTTAATATTACAAGACATGTTAAAAGCGAAGCAACCGGTTTCGGTCCTGCTCTTCAGGCCTCTACGGGAGATTTAACTTCAATTAAACCAACAGAAAATGTGTAATGAGAAGGAGAAGGGAAAAAAATTGAAAACTAAGAGCTAGAGATAAATAATCATTTTTTCCTCTTCTCATTACATATTCTCTGTTTTAATTTAAGTTTTATTTCTTTAATATATATATATATACATATAGTCATTCACATGGATGACTATATCTACAGACAGACTGTTTCGCTGTATGACAGCTCATCAGACATCCGGTTGCCTCTAGCTAGGATCGAAAACCGGCTGAATTGTCGTCTGTCGGAGATTTTACCCCTAAGCCGTTGGCGCAGGGCAGGGATGTAGGTGAATTTAAGTGTATTTATTTTTAGATAAACAAACAGAGACTGAGAGAACTCGATTCGATTTACCGAAGAGTAATGCATTATTAGCCGTAATAGTCACTGTTTACTCACACTTTCAAACAGGTCTGGTTAAATAACTTAAACACATCATGTCGATTAGTTTCCGTTGTGATCGTTTAAAATGCGCAGATTAATGTCACGATAGCCTTAGAAATTTGATTAAGAAAAATAAGAAAATTTTCTTTCAAATAGTTTTTTTTTATTTTCCCAAGTAGACAGCTTACCAACCTGAAGATGGTCACAGATGCGATTGAAAGTACTTGGGAAAATTAAATAAATAATTATATTTATGCTCTACTTTTGTATCGAGCACTATTTTAAAAAAATAATAAATAAAATGCTAAAGAACTTTGGATTATTTACCTAAACCAGTTCTTCCTATTTTCTATATATTTTTCACACACACACACACACACACACACACACACACATATATATATATATATATATATATATATATATATATATATATATATATATATATGTGTGTGTGTGTGTGTGTGTGTGTGTGTGTATGTGTGTGTGTGTCGGATGTGTGCCACAATAACTTCAACTATGGAATATATATATATATATATATATATATATATATATATATATATATATGTACTATTTGGACAGAATTATTCACACCCTTGAGAGTTCATTACAAGAGCATTACACATACTGATAAGTATATTCTCCATTCTTCCTTGGCAATAGCTTTTATTTCCTCTAAATTTGAATGGCTGTATTCTCTTTTTTTTCTCTCTTACTTTTTCTTCAAATACGGCCATAAATTTTCAATGTGTTTTAGGCCAGGACTTTGTTGGAGGCGGGGTAAACGAATACCTTAATTTTTCTGTCATCTAAATATTTTGTAATAATTCGGGCCATGTGTTTCCGGTCATTGTCATGATGCCCCAAAAGCAGTTTTCGTGCACTTTGTTTTATATTATTTTTAACAATAGCCAAATTTTCTTTTATATCTTCCCAAGTAGACAAATTAGTCTCCTGAAGATGATCTCAGATGAGATTGAATATATATATAATTCATAAAAGGTTAATGGTCAGAGTTGAATCAGATCAAGAAACCGTACTATTAAAAAGTGCTCAATACACATGTAAAATAAAACGAAATAAAAAAAAAAACATGTAGAGATTTTAACTTTAAAACACAAGAGATTGGTTGAATCCGCTACCTTTGTTTCAACCTTACAGTATCTTCGGGTGATTTCTATCAACTGACCTCCCAACGTCTTATTTAAAATTAAAAACAAATAAAAAATAAAGAGTTGGGTGATGATTAGATAAAAATCACCCGATGAATCCACTACCTTGGTTACGGTTTTAACTAATTTCCTGATTTTTTAAGTATATATATATATATATATATATATATATATATGCTTTTCTTTCGCAGATCAGTGTGCTCTATTTTATACACTTTTAAAGGGCATTTAATACGTATAAATAACTTTTTTTGTTTATGTACACATTAACCATTTTTAGTCACATATAGATGACCGTCCCTTGTCATGGTAGAGGGCTTATTTGTCCCAGGGATTCCAACAGAGAATCTGTCTGGTGTTCCAACTCCTTTATAGCCACCCATGGCGGTAAGGTCGAAGAGTAATGTCAAGACTGAAAAGTGGGCTAAAAACCTAATGCTAAATATTAGGTGACCTCGGACCTAAAAAAAAAAAAAAAGAAGATTTTCAACCAAAATTGCATACGTATTAAAAAGGAATAAAAAAATTTAAAAATAATTAAAAAATATTTTGGTCTTTCTTTCTTATTAATAACATAAAATTTTCTCTATAAAACTTTATTTTTATTAAGTTTGGGGCCTTTTTCTTCAGGGTATGCCATTTTTTTAGCGGTTAAGAAGTGGACATACCTACTTCAAACAATCAGTGACAAACATCGTGGGGTATTTATTCCTCTGGTCACACTATCTTTATCTAAAACAGCAACGACGAAGTTAGAAGAATAAGTAAATTGCAAAAAACTGAAATTTCTGAAAAATGAAATAAAGAAAGAGAGATTGGAAAATTTAATACTTATAGGATATATTGAAAGTTAGAGGAAAAAATGTGAAAAGTAGCTAACCTCATGGATGGTAAAGTTGTTATTTGATTTGTTTATGTGGCTTATCAAGAATTTGTAGGTTGTTTAAAGCAGAAAATATTTTAGATTGTAAGAATTTTTCTTTGGAGAAGATAATGATTAAACGAGGCGTCTTAATAATTAACACACAAATGGCGGATGAGTAAGAGTGGATTCGTACATTTCCCGGCTCTCCAATATCACCTTCCGAACCGCTATGAAGAATGGTAAAGGCAATGAACGATGGTAAAGGCAACGAATGATGGTAAAGGCAATGAACGATCGGAAAGGCAACAAATGATGGTAAAGGCAATGAACGATCGGAAAGGCAACGAAGGATGGTAAAGACAAATAAGGATGGTAAATGCAATGAAGAATTGTAAAGGCAAATAAGGATCCTATAGGCAACGAAGAACCGTAAAGGCAACGAAGGCTGTAAAAGGCAATGAAGAATGGTAAAGAGAATGAAGGATGTAAAGGCAACGAAGGATGGTAAAGGCAATGAGGAATGGTAACGGCAACGAAGGATGGTAAAGGCAACGAATGATGGTAAAGCCAATGAAGTATGGTATCCTTGCTTTATAAGGATGATAAAAGCAATGGAGGATGGTAAAGGCAATGAAGAATGGTAAAGGCAACGAGGAATCGTAAAGCAACGAAGGATGGTAAAGCAATGAAGGATGGTATCCTTGCTTTATAAGGAGATTTTTGGAGAGCCATAATCAGCTTCATGCTGAATGAAATGGCACATTTCAGGACACTGGAATTCTCATAGAATTGTTTTTATTTACTTAAATAAAAATGTTCTTTAGAAAGTAATACAAAAGTGTTTCTAATGAGAAATATTTTAGTCTCATTGTGTAAATAGTTGCAATTTACGTAAACAATTTTAAAGAGGAACAGTCAAGAAAATACAGAGGATGTTTTCCTTGGACATAAAAAAAATGATCTATCCCAAAATAAGCTTGCATTTGCCGCAGGTGAAGTGTTTTCTAATCATATGAAATATTTTTGTATAAGAAATATAACTTCGTGACAGGAGCACATTCATTTTATTAATATTCGGTAAGTGAAATTTACTGGAAGAAAAAAAAAACATTATTTATCAGATATATACCCGACTGTTTTTTTTAGACGAGTTATTTTAAGCAATGTACAGAGGTTAGTTCGGACATTAAGTGAATGGGAGATATTCCAAAGCAATGAGACAAGAAGTTTAGAATTGTGGGTTCATTGGAAGCCAAAATGTTTCAGCACCGATTTTAGGAAACAATCCGAAGAAGTCAATTTCAGGCACAAGATGTTATGTAAATAAATGGAGGAATTCATGGTCAATTGGCAACAAAAGAATGGGCAACTGATGAAGGCTGGGAATTGGACGGTTCAAACGTTGTAACGTAAGAAAGAAGAGCATTTTCCGAATTAACAATTTTTGTAAGAAAGTATATCTAAAATTATTTGTACTGACATTGCAATAAATAATAATAACAACAACAACAACAACAACAACAACAACAATAATAATAATAATAATAATAACAATAATAATGATAATGATAATAATAACTAGGATTGGTTGGAAAAGATTCCAGTAGGATAATTGAAGGGATTCCTGGAAGCCCATGCCTTGAAGAAATACAAAAAATTGTCCTCACGAGCACAGCCCTCTGGGCGAGATCCGGAAAGAAATGTGTACACACTAGAAATCAAAGGAAATAATAATAATAATAATAATAATAATAATAATAATAATAATAATAATGATGATGATGATGAATATAGTAATAGTAATAATAATGATGATGATGATGATAATAGAAATAATATTAATGATGATAATAATAATAATAATAATAATGGTAATAATAATAATGATGATGATGATAATAGTAATAATAATAATAACTTTGGACTCCGAGGGGAAAGAAAATTCTTAGTATACCAGTGAGATCTCAGCTGCCACAGAAATCCACAACAGTTGAAACCATGCACCAATCTTCTCACTCATACCGCCACTCACATGCTGAATATTCCCAATACTCACGTAATATTTTTTCTTACACAGTAAAACTGTTGAAAACATCAATTGCCAGAAACTATTACAAACTTATTGCTTTCAGTTAACACTGGAACAATTGACAGTTAAAGAGAGACAACTCTTGTTTTACTCAATGCATGCCTTTTTTTCACATCCTTGTTTGTTCATCTTGTTAAATACAAATTTTATGTGTAATGATGTCTTTGGCTTTTCCTCTTTTTCTTCACCTCAGTTTGGTTTCCTAATCTAAGTTAAATAAATGTGGTGAAGTCGACCACAATACGATTCAAAAGTGAACGATGGATTATTGCTATCATTGCTATTATAGTTGCCATCATTGCTGTTTCAAGGATTGTTATTTAATCTCTTTCTCTTAATGTCGTCTCTGTTTGAATTACAAAAGCTTTTCCTTCTCGTAGCACTCATTGAAGGAATTTGCTGAACATTACAAAACGAGTACTGCTGTTAGGAAGAAGAAATGAAACAGAAGGCAATAATAATAAGGATAATAATAATCATTGTAGTAATAGTAATGATGATAATAGTATTTGTATATATGTGTATGTATATGTATGTGCACTTGTATATGTGTATATATATTTAATGGACTCTCCCGTTGGTTTCGACGTATGAGGATCTGACAGCTTAGTTGATTCAGTTATGAAATTTTGTGCGATAATCTTAAGTGGCACTTAAGACCCGCTAGTGATTTACAAAGGATGCCGCATATGGAGCAAGAGTGAGAATTGTGAGATGAGATCACTGTTAGAGTGGCTGACCTTTTAGTTCTTGCTCTCGCTTCTTGAAGATGATTCAGACAAGCAGATTGAAAACTGCTGAGTCCACTAAAACAAGTTGATCTCCATTCTACCTGCTCCAATGCTAAGCGCTCAAGGGTGTTATGTAGTATATTGACAGCTGACAAGTTGCTTTTCAGCTTTTCTTTGTATCTTAACCATGGACGTCCTACATTCCTGTAGCCCTGATCTAACTGGCTCTACATTAGGATGTTGGGTATCGTGTCATCAGACATTTTCAAGACATGTCCAGTCCACCGTAACTGAGACTGTATGAGAAAAGTCTCGATTCCTCCAATATTACACCTGTTAAACAGGTCTACTTTAGATGTCCTATCTTGAAGGCTAACTCCCCAGATTGCATGCAGACAGCTTTTATGGAAAACATCCAGCTGACATATATGGTACCTGTATGGAGTCCACGAATCTGAGCCGTACAAAAGGATGGCAAGTACAACAGCTCTGTAAACCCGAATTTTCGTATCCAGTCAATACCCTGTTCATTCCATATATGCGTATATGTACATTGATTATATAAAGCCAAAAATTAAATTTTAGTTTAATCATTTTTTTTAATTTTAGACACACGTTACTAAGTTATTTTTATTTGTTGATATATCTAATATATAATCAGTATCTTTTAGTTTTATTTATCTTTGACACAAACCTTATATTTTTACCTGATTCGGGCAGAGCATTGGACAGTTATGAAACTCATGATTAGACTAGCCGTGATCTGTTGGGTCATTGAAGCTTCAGGTTATAAAACATTGAAGTTGATTTTAACACTGAAAGAAAACAAAAGAAGGGAAAAGAAGGATATTTTCTATTTGAAGGAAGTTGAAATAAAATAAAAAAATACTTACAATATAAGAAACTAGTAATTGTTAATTAAATTCACTTAGATTTTTTTTTTAATCTTCTTTCTTTCTATGTCCCTTCAGGACGTAGGTGATCATAGGTTTCCACTTCCCTCTATCCCTTGTGGCCATCTCCCCCAGACCACGTACTGCCATCCACTTGCTTAAGCCTGGCAGATATGTCATGCATTGTTTACCATTGCCTCTCTTTCCCTCTATTCAACCAATGAGTTTCAGATTCTTCAGGCCTTTCTTTCTCATTACGTATCCCAGAAATTCCATCTGCCTCTTCCTGATGTTATGTATACTCTTCCTTCTTCTTTGCATCCTCATTCATCATTGCTCGGTCCAAAATCGGATTAACTTAAAGGTATTTCCTTTTGATATGCCAAGAAATCTATTTAAATGATATTCATTTGAATTTTTTTTTCTTAAAATATGACAAATAAATTTTCTTTTGTTTCAATAATTAAAATATTGTTTGTTTAATTAAAGCTGAAATCCCAGAGAGATAGAAAGAGAGGGGCGGAGAGAAACTTAAATCATTATGCGCTCGACGGCCGACGTATGCACGATTCACAGCTTAGTTGGTCAGCATGTGCCAATAGACCTCTACCATTCTTGGAAACCAACACAGTATTCTGTTCCTTCTGCATTACAAATCTTACCTCTTCTACGTTTTCTCTTGTACCATATCTTCTCATTCGTTGTGCATGACATTGTAAATGGTGCTATAATTTGTCTACCCATTAACGCGGATGGACTTTGTAATCTTCGGGCATGGGGTATTGTCCGATAACTTAATAACAATCTTGGTAGAAAATTTTCGATTCTTTCATGCTGTGGGGAGAACGCTTTTAAACCCATTTTTATTGTTTGTACGATTTGCTCCGCCATTCCATTTGATTGCGGATGTGGTTTTATACGGTATGCATCCAATGTTTCTTAACCATGAGCACCACTTTTCGTCGCAAACCCTGGAGCATTATCTGTTACCAATGTCCTTGGTACGCCATTCCTGGCAAAGACTATTCGTAAAATTTGTTGTACAGTATCTAATTTTCTATCCTGAACCCTAAAAACTTCGGGCCATGCTGAAAACGCATCCACCAATATCAGACACAATCCTATACCATTCACATGTGCATGGTTCATGTGAACCCTGGACCATGGTTCAGTTTCCTTTGGCCACGAATATGCCTTGTTCTGTCGAAAAATGTTTATTTTCGCATATTTAGGACATTTATTTACGTACGTCTTCCTGTTACAAATGTGACCAGACCACCAGGCTTCCATTTTTACACTTTTTTGTAGCACCTATTTCACAATGCACATCATCATGCACGATTTTGATTACCTGTCTTCTACAAATTTCTGGTGGTACCACCAGATCTCTATTGCTAACTTACGCCATTCTCTATTGTCAGTTTATGTCTGATCTCTTTGTACGATATTTCCACTTTAGAACAATTACTCCATTTGTTTTTCCTTATTCTCTCTACGATCCTATTCAATACTGGATCTTGTAGAGTCTCCATCACGCGTCTATTAATGGGCAATACATCGGTCTCCACCCAATGTAAGATTCCATCTTCCACTTTCTCATTTTTCTCGTGTTGTTCCTCCTCAAATTGTAGTCGTGATAGCGCATCTACATGTGGGATCGTGTTTCCTTTCACATATTCTATTTCATAGTCAAAGGTGATCAACTTCATTGGCCATCTTAGTATCATTGAGGATGTGACCTTCGGCAGTTCTTTTAATATAAATTCTAGCGGTTTATGATCCGATCTGAGATAAAACTTTTTCTCTAACAAAAATTCTCTTGCTCTGGTGATGCTCCATACTATAGCCAATGCTTCCTTTTCAATATTTGAATAGTTCTTTTCAGCTGGCGTTAATTTCCTGGACAGCTACATCACCGAGCGTCCCTGATACAGACTGTCCACTCGCATCTGTTGTTAAGGTGACTTCTTTTTTAGGGTCAAAATTCTTGACAACCGGTTTCCTGAATAATGCTAACTTCAGTTTAACAATGGATTTTTGGTGAATTCTTTTTTTGGTTTCCGTTCTTATTTTGTTTTTCGTAAATCAGCAAAAGGCTCAGTTCTTTCTGTATATTTTTTGGTAAGAACTTGCTTTAGAAATTAGCTAATCCAAGAAATTATTCCAACTCTTTCTTATTACTTGGAGGCGAAGCATTCAGTATTTTCTGTATCAACCTTGAATCCGGTGAAGTACACTCCTCTAAGATTTGATATCCCAAAACCATTTATCCTCGTTTATAGTCATTCCTGCATTTCTGAGAATACTCATTACCATTTTAATTCTTCTTCAGCCCAATATTATCTTGATATATTATTTTATTTTTTACTTTTCCTTCTAGATTTTCCATGGCTTTCTGAAAAATCAAACTGGCTGTCTTAACTCCAAATGGTAAGCGAGTCCACCTCAATAAGCCGGTTTTAATCAGACAGAAGAATCCAATTACAACTGTAACTGTTGGTGTCCTAACGTGCAACATTTTTTGAGATTTTGATTTCAAGATCTTTGTATTTTGATATATTTTTTGACGATGTTCAAAGATACATTGCTGTCTGCAGGGATAGCCATATCAATAAGAAGGCACATTTTGATTTTGTGGTCTCTAATCCCGATGTCTGGTCGATTAACTTTCATTGTTCTGGCTGTGTATATTGTAAAATCCCATAAAATTGTT